AATAATAATAATAATAATAATAATAATAATAATAATAATAGGAAGTGAAAACCACCGAGAAGGCCCTGTCCCTCATCCCCGCCAAGCGTGTTTGCGCCAAATGCGGGGCCAAATGCAAGGCCTATCCAAAAGATGTTAAACTTCAAGGTGGGACGTAGAGGGAGATACGTTCGGGCAGGTAAGCTGGGACGGAACCATATACACAACTACCTTCACCTGCTTTGCTCCTGATCTCTACGGAGTGATTAAGGCATACTCTCCACACTGTCCTTCCCATGATCCTGGACTTCTGTGATCATTGTTTTTGCGACCCCGATCCAACCCTCCTCCCTAAAACTATGACCCATCATAGATAGGGATGGCAGATTCTTACCCGCCGGTTTCTCCAGGGCATCTATAAGATACTTCTTGATCTCACTGAGGTGGTTCTGGATTTGTTTCAGTTTGTGAGAGAAGTTCTCCGAGTGACACGTTGCTGCAGCAAGGCAAGAGTCAGCAATCACCAGGTTGCATCCTTCTGAGCATCCCAATATTCCAAGTCTTTGACCTCTTTCGGTACAACAACAACATTTCATTATGGTCCAAAGACCCTTATTTCACATGGTTTGCAGGTGATGAGATTAAGAACATCCGGTTGGATAAAATTCACAACAGTTAGTAAAGGTTTAAGTCCAGTCGTGTCCAAATCTGCGGGTCGACAGACTAATGAAAAGTTAGATAGGAGATTGACATTTCGTCAACATAGAGCTTCTCAGAAGAGTTTACAAAGGTCAAAGCACCTATTAGCCAAGAAGTCCAGGGGCAAAGGCGTGATTCTGGTCAGCAGGTTTTTCTGCAGCTAGCAGTTTAATCTGCTGTGCTACCGTGGCCCTTTGCAAGAGGAGGATGTCTACAGCCATCTGGTCTCTCACCATCTTCAAGCTCAGTGAAATTTTATGCAAAAGCAACAAAATGTTCAACAAAAAGAGCTTTTTTTGGTAGTGTGACCTAAAAACCTATTATTAAAGTAAAGGTTTTCCCCTGACGTTAAGTCCAGTCATGTCCGACTCCGGGGGTCGGTGCTCATCTCCATTTCTAAACCAAAGAGCCAGCGTTGTCCGTAGACACCTCCAAGGTCATCTGGTCAGCATGACTGCATGGAGCGTCGTTACCTTCCCACCGGGGCCGTATCTATTGATCTACTCAAATTTGCATGTTTTCAAACTGCTAGGTTGGCAGAAGCTGGGGCTGACAGCGAGAGCTCATCCCGCTCCCCGGATTCGGACATGTGACCTTTCGGTCAGCAAGTCCAGCAGCTCAGCGGTTTAACCCACTGTGCCACCGGGGGCTCAATTATAATAACATGTAAGCCAGCCCGAGTCCCTTTGGGGAGATCGAGGTGGGGGTACAAAAGTAGTTCATTGGGCAAATAGGCAGGGTTTGGGAGCGATTGGCCTTCGATCTGGGAATTGTAGTTCACCCTGATCCAGAGAGTACTGAATGCAGCCAACTTCGGATCTGGACCCAATTTGGCACACAGACCCAACATGTCCCATTGGGCATATAGGCAGGGTTTGGGAGTGATTGGTTTTCGATCTGGGAGTTGTAGTTCACCCTGATCCAGAGAGTACTGAACCCAGCCGACTTTGGATCTGGACCATACTTGGCACACAGACCCAACATGGCCCATTGGGCATATAGGCAAGGTTTGGGAGTGATTGGCCTTCGATCTGGGAGTTGTAGTTCACCTTGATCCAGAGAGTACTGAACCCAGCCGACTTCGGATCTGGACCAAACTTGGCACACAGACCCAACATGGCCCATTGGGCATATAGGCAGGGTTTGGGGGTGATTGGCTTTCGATCTGGGAGTTGTAGTTCACCCTGATCCAGACAGTACTGAACCCAGCCGACTTCGGATCTGGACCAAACTTGGCACACAGACCCAACATGGCCCATTGGGCATATAGGCAGGGTTTGGGGGTGATTGGCTTTCGATCTGGGAGTTGTAGTTCACCCTGATCCAGAGAAAGTACATGGAAGACTGGGTGAGTTTAATGGCCACACAAAGCTGACTGGTTGTAGTGGGACATAGGTAGGAAATAAAAGTGGGATAATCTTAAGGAAAGCATGAGTGGACCTCAGAACTGGCGCCTACAACTCTCCGGGATGTTTATGTTTGAAGTCACGCTGCCCTAGGCCTCTGAATCCCAAAGGCTAAGAATAAACCACGGGGAAGTATTCCTAGAAGTGTTTGGCTTCCTCCCAATGGAAAGAGGACACCGCAGGAGAAGGGCTTTTGATGTTTGGAAGTTATGAAGCAGAGGCTGGGTGGCCATCTGTCAGGAGGGCTTTGATTCTGTATTTTGCCTGACAGAACGGAAAATTGGAAAACTCTTGGGATTCATACAACGTTAATTTTCTATGATTCAGAGGCTGGATGGCCATCTGTCGGGAGGGATTTGATTGTGTCTTTAGCCTAACAGAATGCAGTTTGATTGGATGGTCCTTGGGGTTCTTCCATCTTTAGCATTCTATGATTCAGGGGCTGGGTGGCCATCTGTCGGGAGGGCTTTGATTGTGTCTTTTGCCTGACAGAACGGAAAATTGGAAAACTCTTAGGGTTCGTCCAACTCTAATATTCTATGATTCAGAGACTGGGTGACCATCTGTCGGGAGGGCTTTGATTGTGTCTTTAGCCTGACAAAATATAGTTCGACTGGATGGCCCTTGGGGTACTTCCATCTTTAACATTCTATTATTCAGAGGCTGGGTGGCCATCTGTTGGGAGGGCTTTGATTGTGTCTTTTGCCTGACAGAATGCAGTTCGACTGGATGGTCCTTGGGGTTCTTCCATCTCTAACATTCTATTATTCAGAGGCTGGGTGGCCATCTGTCGGGAGGGTTTTGATTGTGTCTTTTGCCTGACAGCACGGAAAATTGGAAAACCCTTGGGATTTATACAACTCTAATATTCTATGATTCAGAGGCTGGATGGCCATCTGTCGGGAGGGCATTGATTGTGTCTTTTGCCTGACAGAATACAGTTTGGCTGGATGACTCTTGGGGTTCTTCCAACTCTAACATTCTATGATTCAGAGGCTGTGTGGCCATCTGTTGGGAGGGCTTTGATTGTGTCTTTAGCCTGACAGAACGGAAAATTGGAAAACTCTTGGGGTTCGTCCAACTCTAACATTCTATGATTCAGAGGCTAGGTGGCCATCTGTTGGGAGGGCTTTGATTGTGTCTGACAGAACAGAAAATTGGAAAACTCTTGGAATTCTTCCAACTCTAATTTTCTATGATTCAGAGGCTGGGTGGCCATCTGTTGGGAGGGCTTTGATTATGTCTTCCTGCCTGGGAGAAGGGGGTTGGACTGGATGGCCTTTAGTGGGCCCTCGATTGATAGACTAAGCGACCGAGCCTTACGTTCTGCTGGCTTCTCTTGGAAAGACGACAAGACCACCCTTCCGTTCAGGGCCTGGATGTGGCGGTAGTCGCTCTTCAGGGTGTTGTTCTCCCAGTCCAGCAAGGCGTTCTCCAGCAGCGTAATCTACCAGAAAGCAATGTGTAGTTTTCAAAGTGCATAGGAATATATTTGATACCTGTAAGCGCATGATCTATAGGAGTTGTATGTCCTGGGATGTATAGTTCACCTGCAATCTAAGAAGACTCTGAACTCCACCAACGATGGACCTGGCACACAGAACACCCAAGACCAACAAAACATACTTTGGAGGGATTTAGGGGAGTTGTAGTTCACCTTTGGAGGGATTTAGGGGAGTTGTAGTTCACCTACATCCAGAGAACCCAAACACCCATGGATCTGGACCAAACTAGACACACATACTTGATATGCTGAAATTTGATTACTGGAGGGATTTGGGGGGAACTGGCCTTCCTTTCTAGGAGTTGTAGTTCACCTTTGGAGGGATTTAGGGGAGTTGTAGTTCACCTACATCCAGAGAACCCAAACACCCATGGATCTGGACCAAACTAGACACACATACTTGATATGCTGAAATTTGATTACTGGAGGGATTTGGGGGGAACTGGCCTTCCTTTCTAGGAGTTGTAGTTCACCCCCAATGAGATCAAGTGTGACCCCCACTGATGATGGACCTGGACCATCACATAGAACCCCCATGACCAACTGAACCTACTGGAGGGGTTTGAGGGGACAGACTAGCCATAATGGGAGTTGTAGTTTTCCCTGAAGCCAAAGGGCACACTGAACCCCACCAATGATGCATCTGGAGCAAACTTGCCCGACATAACTTTAAGTACTGATGGAGTTTCTCAAGATTAACCTGGCTTGATAGGAGTTGTAATTCACCCACAACCGCATTGTGTACAATTATAAAAATAGACTTTTTCAAATAACCCGGGCAACGCTGTGGACCCAAACTAGTCTAAAAACAACAACAACAACAACAATAACAACAATGATAATAATAGGAATTGAAAACTTTTTCAAGAATTTTTACCCAGCTACTGGACATAATAATAATAATAATAATAATAATAATAACAACAACAACAACAACAACAATAGGAAGTGAAAACTTTTTCAAGAATTTTTACCTAGCTACTGGACATAATAATAATAATAATAATAATAATAATAATAATAATAATAATAATAGGAAGTGAAAACTTTTTCAAGAGTTTTTACCTGGCTACTGGACATAATAATAATAATAATAATAATAATAATAATAATAATAATAATAGGAAGTGAAAACTTTTTCAAGAGTTTTTACCTGCATACTGGACATAATAATAATAATAATAATAATAATAATAGGAAGTGAAAACTTTTTCAAGAGTTTTTACCTGGCTACTGGACAATAATAATAATAATAATAATAATAATAATAGGAAGTGAAAACTTTTTCAAGAGTTTTTACCTGGCTACTGGACATAATAATAATAATAATAATAATAATAATAATAATAGGAAGTGAAAACTTTTTCAAGAGTTTTTAACTGGTTATTGGACATAATAATAATAAGAAGAAGAATAATAGGAAGTGAAAACTTTTTCAAGAATTTTTACCTGGCTACTGGACATATAATAATAATAATAATAATAATAATAATAATAATAATAATAATAGGAATTGAAAACTTTTTCAAGAGTTTTTACCTGGCTACTGGACAATAATAATAATAATAATAATAATAATAATAATAATAATAGGAAGTGAAAACTTTTTCAAGAGTTTTTACCTGGCTACTGGACATAATAATAATAATAATAATAATAATAATAGGAAGTGAAAACTTTTTCAAGAGTTTTTACCTGACTACTGGACATAATAATACTAATAATAATAATAATAGGAAGTGAAAACTTTTTCAAGAGTTTTTAGGGGGTGGGGGGGTGGTTTTGAGGTGGGGTGTAATTATTTATGGCTCTCTTTTCAAAGGGAGGATCATAATAATAATATAATAATAATAGGAATGAAGGACTTGTTTCAAGAGTT